AAGGGAGATGATTTTGGAAGTTGAAAAGGGAGGGAAATAGGAGGAAGAGTAATTTTCTGCAGAATTTTCGGGTGATGTGCCTGCAAATTTAAAACCCATTAGTAGAAAATGCTACCATTACTAGAAATAAAAACTATAAGTATTGGGCTGCCTCCCAACAAGCGCCTGATTTAACGTCGCGACACGACTGAGGACACTTGATTACTCAGCCTTCATCAAGATAGTATGCCTCTATCACTTCATTCACCAATGAAGTATGCCCAAAATAGAGTTTTATTCGTTCTCTATTCACCTTAAACCGCACTCCCTCCTTGGTTTTTAACACAACTGCTCCATGAGAGAATACTTGGGTGATCAAGTAAGGGTCACTCCGTTTGGACTTGAGCTTTCCCGAAAGACAAGGCAACCCAGATCTGTCTAAAAGCACCAAATCCCCAACCATAAACTCTTGTTTGCACTTTTTTCTTCATTCTCCTTCTTCATCTTTTCTTTGTGGGATATGGCGGATACCGATTGGAGCTCACCACTCTGTCTCATGGTCCTACAAACGTTGAAGGTCGCTTCTTCATTGTTCAACCAAAATTTCATCTACCGTTTTCCATATCAACTAAGGCTCTACCCGTAGCAAGGAATGGTCTCCCAAGAATAATAGATACTTCAAAATTGACTTCACAATCAAGAATAAAAAAATCTGCCAGAAATATGAGTGACTCTACTTTTACTAGCACATCATGGAGTATCCCTATAGGCCTTTTCACTGTTCGATCAGCCATCAGTAGCCGCATCGCAGTGGGTTTTGCGTCACCCAAACCCAACTTTTTGTAAATCGAGAGGGGCATGAGATTTATTCTTGCCCCCATATCACATAATGCTTTCGCAAAATGTAATGACCCAACTGTACAAGGAGTAGTGAAGGCACCCAGATCTTCTTTCTTTTGTACGAGAGATCTTGTAGCAATAACACTACAATGTTGCAGTCTATCATCATCCTCGAAAGTGACCGATCTTTTCTTTGTAACCAGATCTTTCATAAACTTGGCATAACCTGGAATTTGTTCAAGAGCTTCTACCAAAGGGACATTGATAGAAAGCTGTTTCAGCAGTGTTATAAAATGCCGATATTTACCATCCTCGGTCTTTTTCACTAATCTCTGAGGGAAGGGTGGTGGTGGATAGGCATGGGAATTACCTTCATAGGGACTTCTGCATCTTTTCCAGTGCTCTCTTCTACTTCACCACTACCCTTTACCACCTTATCATCATCCTTTCTCACCTTTTCCTCATTAGACGGCATAGGTGGGTCAATGGTTTACTTACCACCATGAGTAGTGATTGCCATACAGTGTGCATCATTTTTTGGATTTTGGACAGTGTTGCTAGGAAGAGTGTCCGGTTGCCGTGTGTTCACAGTCGCAGATAATTGGGCCATTTGCAACTCGATTTGCTTAATCGATATTGCATGTGTATCGCCTTTTTGCCCAATACATGCTAAATCACACCTTAACTCTTTAATGTGCTTATCACTAGCATCGAACCTCCTCATCATTTTGTGCAACATATCTTCAACTCGCGCCATACTATCTCCACCATCCCTAGGAGTAACTTCACGATTTTGAGGAGGGACATAAGGCCCATTCCTATCATTTCTGTTACCGTAGTTACCCCTGTTGAAGTTGTTGTCGCGGTTGTAGTTTCTATCTCGGACATAATGACCCTCACGGTTATAGTTACCATAGATCCAACCTTGGTTCCCTCGACCTTGGTGTCAATTATCCTGATTTGAGCCTTGGGCGCTCGGTCGGAAACCCCCCGTCTACTCATTTACTGCATAGGAGTCCTCTGAATAATATCATTCATCATTAGGAGGTGGTGGTTTAGGTATGTAGTTAACTGCATTTATCTTTTCTGCACCCCCAATGATATGTTTTAGTACCAACCCAAGCTCAGTTCTCATCTGAGCCATTTCTTCACGAATCTCATCTGTGGCTGGGTTGTGAGTGGACTGCACTGATAAGGTATTTCTCCCGGTATCTCACATCCTAGTACTCCAAGCTTTATTATTCCGGGAGATTTTCTCTAAGTTTTCAGCAATCTCAGCATAAGGACACTCCCCATAAGATCCACCTGCTATAGTGTCCAACACCGCTTTATTATTATTATCATCCTGTCCCTGATAGAAGTATTCCTTCAGTGACTCATCATCTATACGGTGATTTCGGACGCTTCTCAAGAACGAGGCGAATCTATCCCAAAACTACTAACTGACTCTCCTAGTAGTGCCACAAAGTTGTTCACTCTGTCTTTGTGGTTTAGTTTCTTGGAGACCGGATAGTAGCGTGCTAAGAAAACATCCCTTAGTTGGTTCCAAGTGAAAAATGAGTTGTAAGGGAGCTCAGTGAACCATATTGCAGCCTCTCCAGTCAGTGAGAGAAGAAACACTCTAAGCCCTATTACATCCAAGTCCAAGTCAGGCCTCCCTACACAGCTTTTACACACTGCCCTTACCTTAGCTATATGGGCATGTGGATCCTCAGAAGGTAGCCCTGAAAACAAACCTCTGGCAGTGAGCATTTGCATCAGGCTACTAGTTACCACGAAGGTGTGGCCTGGTGGTAGAGGAGGCAAGACAAATGGCCCATAGGAGTCTGCTATGTTGTCATAGCCTCTGTAGTATGCTTGGGGCCGTGGAGCGGGATTTTGTCCCCTCTGTTGGTGTTCACCCGGAGCATTGGGTAACAACTGACCATGAACATCAACCGGAGTTGAGATGTTCTCGTTTGGATCATCATAATTGATTCCCAAGTTTCTATTCATGTTGCGTAGTGCACGCTCTCGTGATCATAGGGAAACAAGGGTTCTCTTTCTCTCCATGTATTTGGCATACAAGGAGGGTGGTTCTGCACGAATCAAAACAATAAAACAAAGTAAAATCAAGAAAATATCAACTAAACTATAGTAATAAGTTTAAGTTAATCTAAAAGCTACTTCCCCGGCAGCGGCGCATAAATTTGATACGCTCAAACTTACTTCTCAAATAAGAAGTAAAGCGGTCGTGTCAAGTAAATAACCCAACTAGTGAGGTTGGGATCGTTCCCACGAGGAAAATAGTTTAGACTTAACTTCAATCTATT